TTATTATTATTATTATTATTATTATTATTATTATTATTATTATTATTTTGTTGTATCTTTTGTCACAATGCTTTTGTGTTTTCATGAGCTGAATCTAAGTTTTCTTCATATGAGAAGTGATTAATAAATTGGTTACTCTGGTCCTTTTATACCCGCGGCAGTTCCCATGTTTCTCTTAAAGAGTCACATTGGTGTGAAAAAAAAGTAGCAAAACAATTCCACAAACTATTTTATGGCCACAACATTTAGTCTACAACTAAAAAAACACCAGAAAACGTACTGCAAAAAATGTTATTAAAAATATCTTAAGTATCTGGAATGGGGATGTTAAAAAAATGAAAGTAAAACATGCTTATGTCAACTAATTATTAAAGCAAGGAAACGTTGTGTTTCTTGTTTCTTCAACCCCAGACTTTGCAATTTTTATTTTGTAGGATTTTTATAACATAAGTGTAGCAGGTTTTTCTAAGCTTAATTTGCTCAAAATGTGCTTCCTCCTGCTAGTTCTCATATACAATATAATATTTGCTACAGGTGGTGCCTTCACAGCAACCACAAACAGTGTTGTTCACATTATGTAACATTTGAATAGCCAGCTATCAAAAACTGGTGTGACAAATGGTGTTTGCCAATCACTACAAGATGGTTAAGGAAGATGAATTGGAGGAGGAATTGGCATGATTAAAGTGAAACAACCACCTCAGACATTATTTTCCGTGATTAACCAGAGCTACCAAACAATGGCAGACACAGATCAAAAATCCTCCTGGCAAAAATATCGCGTGTCTGAATGGCAGCATAATAGATGGACAGTGTAGTTCTAAATAGGATTCTTGTCTTGTTCATTGAAATCCAATGTTTAAATCACTTGATTTAAAGCAGACGCAGCTAAAGGTGCTTCTCATAGACTTGCTTTTGGGCCATCCCAAATTCCCCCTCCACTTATGTGAGTGCAAGCAATAAAAGAAAGCCATCAACTGGCGTTTACCTTTCCAGACCTCTCCAAACTCATCTGGGCAATTTCTGCCCCGAACTTATAAAATGGGACGTCTCCTCTGTTGGAATCAGTGATAGGAGCTGAGGTGGGAATGTCAGTGGTGGTTTCATGAGACTCATCGGATTCATCTGAATCTGGATGATCATCGTCTTTGGAAACATCACTATGATCATCATCGTCTTCATGACTTTTGCTGGAAGAGGCCAAAAGGGTCTGCAAGGAAATCAATGCAACTTGGTTATACCACATGCACAAGGACACACTTTGTTTTAGGTTTGGACGTATCTTGTGAAGATGCTACATAAACTCAAGAAATTGAAACTGGGCAGTGTTGTGGTTCGCCGGGAGCCGGTGCAGACAGCAGCGGAATCGGACAGTGGGGAAGAATGGGGACTAGTCAGGGAGTCTGGAGAGGACTCAGATGAGGGTCTTGCGTCCGATGCAGAGATAGAGCCAGGACTATCTGGGAATGGGGTGCTGCCTCTGGAGCCTTTGGAGACTGGCAGCAGTGAGGCAGAGGACCCAAGGGAGCCTGTTCCCAGTGCACGTGTGCGCAGAGCTGCTAGTAGGTAAGAGCAGCTGAAACAAAAGGGGCGACTTGGGAGTAAGGCTGGGAGGTGATTGCCCCTCCCATAAGGTATAAAGGTCAGGCCAAGATGATGAAACCTTTGCAGGAAGCAAAGTAGTTTGGTCTGTTCAGTCATTCTTGAAGCTCTTTGTACTTTGGTTGGGTTTTTTGTACTACGGTTTCTTTTCTAGTTCATTTGATACTTCTGTTTTTGGCAGCACTTCACAGAACTGAAAGGTGTGTGCTTATCTCAGGGGACTGTTTGAGATTTATTTTAGCTGGGAATGAAAACAATTCCCAATAAACTAAGTCTTTTGTTTTTAAAATAAGTGTGTGCGTAATTACGGTTTAGGAAGTCTGGGTCAGACCAGGGAGCTAGTTTTCAGTGCCAAACATCAGGATGAAAGCCTCGGAACCTGAGGGTAATACCCCAAAGCAAATGCAGAATTTCTTTTGTTCACTAGTTGGCAGTAACAAGAATCTGAGGACTATACTCTCAAGGCTTAAGGTTTAGATAAATGAAATAATCTGAAGGTGCATGGTGGCTCACGTGATTAGGACACTGGACTGATAAGCAGTAAACCCACGTTCGAGATCTGATACTGCCATGGGACAGGGTGAGCTCCCATCCTTGGCTCCAGCTCCTACTGGGATATGAAAGGAGCCTCCAACTGGGTGTCCTCTGAGCAATGGTGATATCATTGGCTAATCTTTTCAACCTGGAAGTGCCTTGGTGGTCCCGGCATGAGTGTGATGCAATTTGCAAGCTTTCTAAAGGATCTCTATTTGGATTGTCATACTGAATCGTCAAGAACATGGACAGGATACAGTCCTCAGAATAGTTTTGTACAGCCCTAACGCAAACCCTATGACAGCACACTGAAATAATTGCCTTAGTTACCTTTGGGGTGGGTTTTTGCGGGGATTGTGCATTGGTTTTGGTTTCAAAATTCAAACCTTTAATAGTTTAGGATATCCTAAGCTAGTGGTGGCTAACCTTTTTGGGCTCCTGTGCCAAAAATTGTGCGTGCGCTGGCGCGCTTGCACAATTCCCCCCTGCTACAGCCCCTGCCTCCCGGTATTACAGGAAGTGATGAAACGGGCCTATTATTCATCCTGCAAAGCCTGCAGAGGCTTTTTTCAAGCCTTTGGGAGGCCGAAAAAGGCCTCAAACAAGCTGAAAATCAGCTGTGAGGCGGGCGCATGCCCATTGAGGTAAGTTTGTCTGCGGCTCACATGCCGGCACAAATGGCTCTGTGTGCCACCTGTGGCATGCATGCCATAGATTCACCATCATGATCCTAAGCTATTAAAAGATTTGAATTTTGAAACCAAACCCAATGCACAATATCTATCCTATCCTATCCTATCCTATCCTATCCTATCCATTTATCTATCTCTATCTCTATCTATCTATAAATTTGACTTACTATGAATTTGTTTGCCTGTTATTAAAATCCATGTATGACACTCATCTAAAGACATTGCTGCTCAGTGATACATTCAGATGTTACTTTTTACAATGCAAATGAAATCTATGGAACTCCCCCTTTTTTTTTTTTGCACAACTATTAAAGATGAACGAGTTTTGCTTCCTTTTGGACTGGATCGAAAGGAAGCTACAAATACACTCAAGTTGGTTGTCACAACAGGGTGATCAACGCTTGGCCTGTTTTTTGTTTTTGTTTATTTGCATATAAATACCAGTGAATATAAACTGACCTGTTGCTCAGTGATCTCATCACGATCTTCCAAAGACTGAGAGTTCTGAAAAATGAAATAAAAGTGCTATAAAAACGAGCAGTGGATCTGGGACAGATAACATAAAAAGGAAACCTGCCCAATGAAAGCTTATAGAATTCATTACTACAGGTAGCCCTGGACTTACCACAGTTCATTTAGTGACCATTTTCAAGTTACAACAGCACTGAAAAAAGTGACTTGTGACCATTTTTCACACTTATGACCATTGCAGCATCCTCATGATCACGTGATAAAAATCCAGGTGCTTAGCAATGGACTCATATTTATGATGATTGCAGCGTACCAGGGTCCCCTTTTGTGACCTTCTGACAAGCAAAGTCAATGGGGAAGCCAGATTCACTTAACAGCCATCTTACTAACTGAACAACTGCAATGATACCCTTAACAATTGTGACAAGAAAGGTCATAAAATGGGGCAGAACTCACTTAACGTCTTGCTTAGTAACAAACAAATTTTGGGCTCAGTTGTGGTCGTACATCAAGGACTACCTTGTATATAGCTGGAGAAAATATCAGTTTATGAACAGTAGGTATATTAACAACCATTAATCATGGTTAATGATTAGCTTTGGTAGCAATATAATTGTGAACATGTTGTGGTGGAGAAACGGAGAAGGAAGGGTATTCTGATAAAGCTCAGCTGGTGGATTTCCCAGAAGCAATTGGTTGGCAACTAGTGGAGATGCTGAATCATTTGGATCCAGTTGAGGCTTTCCTAGGATTCCCTTTTTATTCAAGGTATAATAGGATTTAGGACCTGGGCTGAATGGAATGGAAATGAGTAGTGTGGTGGCCTAGAGGTGGAGCTCTCGCCTCACAATCAGGAGGCTGTGAGTTCAATCCTAAATAGAGGCAGATATTTCTCTCTTTGGGCACAATGAGAATATATCTGCTGAACAAAACTCCGCATTGGTGACAGGAAGGGCATCTGGCCATTAAAACACTCTGCTAGCATCATTCAGTTGCCCAGACTCCATCCCACAAGGGATTATGAGGTCATTAAATGACCATGATGATTGAATGGAATGGAAATAGGACTGGTGGGAGGTATGGAGAATGATGGATAGGGAAAGAAGTTAAATTGACTAATGGGTAAAATGTCTTGCACTAAATCTCATCAGGCCTAGTTTGACCATGACTAGGCCCAACTGACAGCTAATTTGTGTCCCATTTTTGCTCGGTCCTCCCACCACAACATTTCTTTGTACTTTGTGTATTTCTGGGAAGGAGAGGATTTTTCTCACTCTAGTGCCATGGTGGCAAACTTATGGCACATGTGCCACATATGCTACGCAGAGCCATTTGTGCGGGCACGCGAGCCCCAGCCAAACTTAATGGCACTGTCCATGCGCGCAGCTCTCAGCTGATTTTTGGCTTTTGAGGCCATTTTTGCCCTCCCAGAGGCTCGAGGGAAGCCTCTGCAGCCTCAGGAGGCCGAAAAACAGGTCTTCTGGAAATACTGGAAGTGCCAAAACGGGCCTGTTTTTTGGCCTCCTGAGGCTGCAGAGGCTTCCCTTGAGCCTCCGGAAGGGCAAAAATGGCCTCAAATGGGCCGAAAATTAGCTGGGAGGTGCATGCATGTGCAGTGCAGGCAAGGGGGCAGGGCGGCGGTGTTGCGTGCACATGCGCAGGGGGGGCGTGGGGCGCATTGCATTGTGGATGCCGGCATGCTTGCGCTTTCGGCACACCACAACAAAAAGGTTTGCCATCACTGCTCTAGAGCTTTCCAAGTGTATTGGACTTGCAGCTCCATAATCCCCAGATAGCACCATCTCAAACCATGCCATCTGGGTTTATAGGAACCTCCAGAAGCTGCCAGGTTGAGGAAAGCTCCTAACAATTCATCAAAGAAGATGAGTTGCATACCAGTTGAGAAGATGTATGTTCTGGAGACTCTTGACTATGTTCATGGCTATTTTCACGCTCTTGACTGTGTTCATGGCTATTTCCATGCTCTTGACTGTGTTCATGGCTGTGTGAATTGTGGTGGTGATGGTGGTGTGCGTAAGCTTCATTTTCTCTGGAGTCCTACAACAATACAAAAACATTAGAATTTAGCATGCACCATCTCAATGCTTGGTCACCACTAAAAGGCAAGGACCTAGGGCTTGGTAGAAGGATCCTTACAACAGAGAGGAAATAGTTAGGAGAATCTAATTCAGAGGTGGTATTCAGCAGGTTCTGACCAGTTCTGGAGAATCAGTAGCGGAAATTTTGAATAGTTCAGAGAACTGGAAAATACCACCTCTGAATGGCCCCGCCATTGGCTGGGTCTTTTTTTGTTCCCCTGCACAGGAGAATGGAGCTGGAAAGCAGGTTAGTGGGGTGGGGAGGGAATGGGATTTTGCAGTAACCTTCCCATGCCATGCCCACGAAGCCACGCCCACAGAACCGGTAGTAAAAAAATTTGAATCCCACACTGATCTAGTTGCCTTGCTATCAAACTTCATTCCCCTAAAACATTTGGGAAAACTATTAAAATCAGTGTTAAGAATAATTGGAAAAGAGATCTAAAACAATGCAGAAAGTGCCTGTTAGCAAGTAAAATGAATCTTAATACTATTTTGTGGTGAATTCAGGTGTAGATCATAGCTTTTTTTTTAAAAAAAAAAACATTTTGCAAAGATACAAAAAGGACAGCCTTAGTAACCAAGAAATAGACACCTTGAAGTTTGGGGAGAGGATTACAGGGTTGTTAAAAAAAAGGGAGGGTTGTTTTTTTTAAGTTGGGGAGAAGTATGGCCCAAATAAATGCATTTAATAAAAGGATTATAATTCTTTTAGCAGTAGGACTTTTTTTAAAAAGAGAGAAAGGTATTGTCAATTGTCTCACTCAATGATATTGATGCCTGGTGGTTTAGGACTGAAAAGAGTGTGTCTGTTTACACACAAATGTAAACAGGAAGCAATTGAGGATGCTGTATTTTTTCCCTCAGCTATACGCATGTAGGCTTAATTCTAGTAAGTAGAAAATGTGAAGAAGTAAATTCCACATGACCGTAAAATATTAAGATTTGAAGCAAGATAATGTTCCAATTCTTGACTGTTTTTTAAGTGTACCTTAAAAACCTCATATTTTAAAAGCTTTAGATAAGAAACATAGATAATCTGCATCCACTTGAACTGAATGAGGTTCAATAAAGATCATAATAAAAGCAATTCTCTGCACAGACACAATACACACTTACATGTTTTCTTTCTGCACTCATAGAATCGTCATGATGTCTCGATTTGCTGATCTTTAAGAAGAAGAAGAAAATAGTATTGATTCCTTTTGCTACACTAAGGAAGTCTTAATTGACTTGTTAAACGCATAACATACTTACTGGTAAGGCAAAGGCAATGGTGAAAAGACACAAGATAAGCACTGCAATTTTCATGATGACTGATCCTTGTGGAATAGTTTGCAAACGCTTGGTAAGATTCCTGTTCCAAAACAACAATAACAATTCGTTTGCCCTGTGTTTTACACACTGTCAAAATATATGTAAACAGTAACTCCAGACTGAAGGTCTCATGATGGATTGATCAGAAATCCACCAATAAACTGCCTAGTCGCAGTGTTGATAAAGCCTTTCTAGAAGGCACCTTCTTAAAAAAAAACAAAAAAAAGTAATTATCCATCTAAAAAGTTGTGGACTGTCACTGCCTTCTAGTTCTCTATATATTTATCACTCTCTTCCACCTCGGCATGTCACCTGGCCGTGATTTGAAGAAGCAGAAATAAAGATGATGAAAAGTGAGAGAGAAAAGGCTCAGCTTATTTCCACCATATTATTGGCCTATGAAATTTTGGGACCTGATTTTTTGAGACTCACCCAGCCATAAGGTGGTGTGTTTGTTTTTCATTTAACATGAAGTGGGAATGCACTCATTATGTCATAACATTATGTGCAAAGTAGGCCACTGAAGCTGGTTCAACCAACCATGGTTCGAAACATTCTGGCAAAGTACATATTACATATGAATTCCAATTAGCTTGATGTAAATGCACGCATTTCCACAACATTCCATAAATGCAATGACCCAGGGTTTTTTGGTTAATGTTATTGTTTTAGAACACAAAAGATAGAAACCACCAACAAATATAGTAATATAGTACATAGAGAAAAAAGTTGTTTTTAAACATAATATTAAATCTTGGCCACACATAATAATCTTGGTTAGTCTTTCCATTGAATTTCTAAATAGTATGTTCATGAGCAGAGATTCAACACATCTCTGCTTATGAACACACTAATCACATAGGACAAAATAATTTCTTATTTCCAGCATAATGAAATATCCAATACATGCAAAAGAAATCTATTTTCCTTGAATAATACCATAAGGTATTACTAAATATTTTTAAAGATTCTTGTTAATTTGTTAATGTGGAATGCAGCAACTCCTTACTTATTGCTAATAACTAATATTCAGTTTAACAATTCTATTATCTGTGCATAAAAAGAGAACAATTTGAAGCACATTTCAATGCTGATCATAATTCAGGAGTTTTAGATGTTGCCACTGCAGCAGAATGCAGTCTCTTGGGAAGGAGGAGGAAAAGTGAGAGTATATTATGAAATAATTCAAAGGCAGATATTTCAAAACTTAATGGAAATTCTGGGAAGGAAGGTTACAACAGTTTGGTATCACTTCTGCCTCTGGTTGCCCGGCATAGGCATACGAATATAAATTTAACTCAAGCATAATTATAATGCTTAGCAGCAATACCATCTAATTGATTGGGTAATTTTGAAGCATTTTGAAAAGATTTCCTAATCAGATAGGATTACACTGTTGTGTATAACACTTTGGAAAAAAGCTGATGAATCAGGACTCAAGGGATATATGAGAAATTGATGAATCACGATGGAAGACTGTATTCAGAGCCAGGCTGATGGGGGAGCTGGCATCCTTCCCTAGGCATTGCCCTTCCTCTTACAAGGTTAATGAGCACTTGTGCTAAAAGCAAAAATCAATGTGAAAACATTGCACCAAATTATATCTGCGTAATACTCCTAAAGAGCCCATCAGAAGATGGAGAGCCAATGATTTTAATGGAAATTAAATGGAACCCTTTTAGCCAGAAATACTTTGCTAAATAAATAGGTGCTGTATAAGAAATGGAGACCAGCAAGAATTTTAACCCTGTTTGGATGGAGCTGTGAGGGTTTCAGAGGTCCTCTGATATCAGGATATTTCAGATAGGGAAATATTCTTCAATACATATACACTGCATGCTTTCCCCAGAGTACTAAATTATCTTAATATGACGACTATTTTTGCCTTTAACTGCAGAGCAGAAAGAGAGCTGCTAGAGATTTCTGTGTCAGATGCTACTGTTTATGAAATGGTTAAAATAAAAACAGAAGTTGATAGTCCTTAGTTACCCAAATCATGACAAACTTATCTTCCTCTTCCAACTCACTTCTATGCCTTCCCATGTTACTTCTACCAGAGTCTTGCAAAGTAGATGAAGTGTGAGACACCCAGGGAATGAGGATATGTCAACATCTATGATGCAATCTTTCTGGTCTAGTCATAACCCAGCCATCCCCTTCTGCAGTTTAGCACTAGAGATAGCAGAAGGCAGACCATAAGGCATTTTGAGCCAAAAGCATGCAGCAATTTGACTCCTCACCCCTCCCCAGAAGTAAATCTTAAGAATGAGCCATTTGTTTGTTTTTTTAATCACATTTTCATTTGGCAGCAGACATCATCCCTGTATCTTTAAATCTGCTCCCAGATGTTATGCAAATCGCACTGTTGTTGGAACCGAATCTATTTCAGGCAAAATGCTCCCCTCTCAGGGGTAACAGTCTCCAGCATCCTGCTTTCTTTCTTTTCCCCTTAATAAATTGCAGCACAGCTTGAAAGTTACAGGCAAGGAAGAAAGGCAATTCAGTACCTGGAGTGATGCTTAGATCCTTGGCAGCAATCTGCAGCTATGTTAGTGAAACTCGGACAAGGCTGGAGTCACTTCAGCTAGTTTCACTCACTCTCTTCCTCTTCTTCTGTTTCCCATCTGCAGACCTCTGAATTTAAACTGTAGTCCAGATACCAGCCAACCAATCTGCGCCGGGAGGAAAAGATGAGGTCATGAGTTTCCTGATTTCAGTCCTCCCACTATTCTGCTACATTTCCTTTCAGGGGTTTTTGTGGCTTTCCGAGCAAACAAGGAGCTATTCCATAGTTAAAACATTACTTATGTAAAGTCTGATTAACTAGTGTTTTGGATCAACTCCGTATGGAGGGAGAGGATTTTAATAAGCAGGGGAACTTATTAGCATTTATGGGGAGAACTACATTAAATTGCATCTTTTCCTTCTTTTTTAATAAAAGTTTTAGGCAGCTTCTGCTAGGAATGGTAGAATATAAATAACCCTTGCAAAGTATAAATCTTGGGGCAGCTTGGAATTCCATTTGTATGAAAACAAGGTATGTCTTAGAGCCTTTATGTTTTTGGCATTTGGATGAAGAGAAAAACATCTTTTTTATCTCTTTTTCTAGTAGCAATGTTTGCGATGTGTCTGGCATCTTAAATATTATTCACAAGTCCATCAGAATCCAACTCGGAAGCCCACAACTCTCGTTCACCCTGGCTGAGTTTGCACATTATACTAAGCCATAAATCATGGTTTGCAAGCCACGGGAGCAAAGCCAAATAATGGTAACATTTAACCCAGAACTTTGTTATTCAGTTTGGCTTCATTCTTTCTTAGTACTAGACCCTTACAAACAGTGCATCCTAGAAAGTAAGATTCACAAAAATGATAAAGAATAAATAATAAGATACTAAGACACAGTGCTAAATTTTGGAAATGGAATAAGCCCAAACTTTAACACCCATTTATTACAGAATTCATTAAGGCAGGTATTTGAACCTCTTTTTCCCCAAAATGCCAGACTGAAGGACTAACTGGCTCTCCCCCACCCATAGGAGTAATCTTGAGCTTTCTTTTTTCTCATCATTAATAATGTTTGGAGTTTTTCCCCCCTCTTCCCTAGAGATATTTCATAAAACCAGCCTAGATCCTGTATGTATGATATCTAGAGGAAATTGATTGGCCCCAGAGAGCTGTACTTGAAAACAGCAGGACAAAATGCTTCATCCCTGACAGATCGTTCACACAATATCCTTAACTTGATTATTGAATTTACCTGTTTTCTAAGTTTGCCCAATACATTAAACCATAAATTAACTGAAAATATTGCATTCATTAAACTCATGAAGAACATGCAAAACGACGTTAATACAGACAGTCTTCGACTTAGGACCACAAGTGAGCCCAAAATTTCTGTTGCCCAGCAAGACATCTGTTAAATTGAATTTTGTCCCATTTTACGACCTTTCTTGCCACACTTGTTAAGTAAAATCGGTGCTGTTGTTAAGTTAGTAACACAATTGCTAAGTGAATCTGACTTCTCCACTGATTTTGCTTGTCAGAAGGTTGCAAAAGTTGATCACATGATCTCGGAACTGGCATAAATATGAGACAATTGCCAAGCATTGGATGATGTGACCATGGGGAGGCTGCAATGGTCATAAGTGTGAAAAATGGTCATAAGTTAGTTTTCTCAGCGCCGTTGTAACTTTGAATGATCAATAAACAAACCATTGTAAGTCCAGGACTACCTGTATTAATTGAGCTACACATCCAAGGTGACTAACCAAATTAAATTGATTGTGAGTGCACAGTTTCAATCTGGCATAATAACTATAACTATGGATATCTGAAAAAACAGTGTCCATGGGGAAAGGGGGTAAGTAATATTTTACCCATTATCCATTATGACACCATAATGCAAACCCTATGACTTTCATACTCATTGGTAGAACATATTTATATGATTGTAAGCTGCCCAGAGTTACCCTGTGGTAAGATGGGTACCCAATAAATTTTATAAATAAATAAAAGTGCAGAGAAGAGCAACCAGGATGATTACTGGACTGGAGGCTAAAACATATGATGAATGGTTGCAGGAACTGGGCTTGGCTAGTCTAGTAAAGAGAAGGACCAGGGGAGACAGGTTAGCAGTCTTCCAATATTTGAGGGGCTGCTACAGAGAGGAAGGGGTCAAGCTATTTTCAAAGGCATTTGAAGGCCAGACAAGGAATAATGGATGGAAACTGAACAAGGAGCAATTCAACCTGGAAATAAGGAGAAACTTTCTGACAGTGAGAACAATCAACCATTGGAACAGAAGTTGCCTTTGAAAGTTCTGGAAGCTTCATCACTGGAGGCTTTCAAGAAGAGATTGGACTGCCATTTGTCAGAAATGGTGCAGGGTCTCCTGCTTGGGCAGGGGGTTGGACTAGATGACCTACATGGTCCCTTCCAACTCTGTTAATCTGTTAAAATAAATAATATGCTGTCACATTACCATTACTTTCTGTCATTGTGGCTAGTAGTGGAACTCATTATAGTGTGATTTCAGACACATTATTATGCAACTTACACAATTCACTTAGGCACCACGATGCTATGAAATGCTAATATGTCATCATGGTTTTTATTGGGTGACCACGGTTACAATTTTGGAATAGAATCGGAGAGAGAACTGGGTTTAAGTCCACCCGGTAACATAGATCACAATTTCTCAGCCTGACTTTCCTTGCAGGATTCTCAGGAGAATAAAATGAAAGCTAGAAGAATAACATGGAAGGAAAACAGAATGTGAACGTAATGAAACAAGCAAGATCTTTTGATCAAAGTGAGCAGCAGTTCTCCTGAAGATCAACTGCAAACTGCGGAGGCCTTAGAAGATGGATTACGCAATGACCTATTTTGGAATGTGAGTGTGTTGAGAAGGGGTGGGCTTCAAACATTTTAGCAAAGGGTTCTCTGTTCAGTTGCTGAGTGGGTGTGGCCATGGTGGGCATGGCCTAGTCTGCCTCCTGCACCATGGTGGGGGGGTGTTTTTGCTCTCCCCGGGCTCCGGAGGCTTTCCTCAAGCCTCAGGAAGATGAAAATGGCCTTCCTGGGCTCCGGAAGCCAGAAACAGGCCCATTTCCAACCTTCCTAAACTTCTGGGAGGCCCATTTTTCACCCTCCCTGAGCCTCTGTGTGCAGCCTGCTCTTACCTGCATCCAAAACAGGCCGTGTGGGTCCTGGGAAGGGTGGGCGGGGCCAGCCAGTAATGGTATTTGGGGGTTCTCGAAACTGCACAGAATCTTAGCTAGGGGCTCTCCCAAACCCCTGCAAACCCCCAGCAGCCCACCTCTGGTATTTATGACGGCTGCAGTGCCCTGGGACATTGTGATCACCTTTTGTGATTGTAAGTCAAGGACTACTTGTATGTGGTATCATGTGTGCAAAGTCATGGTATGACTGTGGGTATCTCTGATTTTTCTTAAAAAAAAAAAGTTTATATTTTAAGATCGATATGAAATTTTCCACGCTGTAGTCCTAGTCTATTAGTCTGACACAGTTCTTCCATCTGCATCTTTCTTATCAGAGCAAGAGGAGGTGAAGGACAATGACAAAGCTCTTTAAGCACTCCCATTCAATTACAAAATGATTTTTTTTTTTCAGGAAGACTTGCCTAGGAACAATGTCACCGTCATTTAGGCTCCAGGAGAAAATCTTTTTGTATGCCCAAGCATTTTAAGGGGCTTTGCTTTTAATCGGCGCCCTTTGCTTGTCATTCCCTCAGTTCTGTTGTGTACCCTTACTACGTTTCAGAATTGTCCCTTATGCAATTGATCTTTCATTCTCTTTTTAAAACTCTCCCTCAATGAAACGAGCAAAGGCATAGCAAGAATTGCAAGCGTTTTCTCTCCCCCTTGACCCAACTAAAACCAGGAGGAAAAAACGTCCTGCCCCATTAAGCTGATAGTCAGAGGCACTTTTTGGAAAAGATAGATGAAAGTTTGGATTAACTGCAGGGAAACGAATGACAGAAAGGAAGGTGGAAATTCTTGGCGGGGAAAACCCATTTTGAGGCACGATCGCCTAAAGGCTAATTGCATTCTTCTGGCATGAGAAAATCCTGTACGAACCTCTCCCCTTGCTTGGTAAGACAAAAATAAATAATAATGAACGAAAGGGCCATTTGTTGGATGTTCTCAGCTGTCTGAGACAGTTGTCTCATGAAGTCTGATGGAGAGCTTCTCCTTGGAACACTTGAGGTAGACACCGCCTGAAGATACACCACCTTTCCTTAAGGTTGTGGTTCACATCCTTTGGCGAACTGAGGCACAGATCTTTTTGTGTGAGTCTGGGAAATTCTGTCATTGGAAAGTTGTCTGCAGGAATGGTATTGCCCCAGAAAGATTTTTTTTTCATTTTTCAGTAGACCATAAAATATGGTCTGCTTCTATGAGCTTGACAGCTTTACACCTCATTTCTAATAGAACTCTATTGTGGCTGTCCTAAGCTTTAGATTTATTTAATGTATTTTATTCATTCTTTCAGAATAAAAACCTTTCCATAGCTGTGTGCACAACAGAATTATTTTTAAAAATCAATAAAAATGACTTACGTGATACAAAATACTAGGCAATAACACTTAAGGGTGAAACTTAAAAGAGCTAACTTAAAATGAATCAATAAAAATGGTCATGGATGTTGTTGGGAATCAATAAAAAATGGTCATGGATGTTGACAAGCAACTAAGGACCAGTTGAAATTAATTGACAAAACATCCTCCAAGACTAACTTCCAAACTGTAAAGTTTTCAAGACCAATATTTAGCTACTTTGAGAGCCACAGTACTGGGCAAGATATAATGTACACAGGCAAGCACACAAACATTTGACATCTTTATGGGTTCATCTAGTGTAGAGGTGTCCAACCTTGGCAATTTTAAGACTTCTGGACCAACTCCCAGAAATCCCCAGCCAGCCATGGGAGTTGAAGTCCACAAGTCTTGAAGTTGCCAAGGTTGGACACCCCTGATCTGGTGGGATATGGTAGTATTGTAATTGTTCTAAAAGAAAGTGAGGTTCAAATCTATGTCAGCTATGGAAACCCACAGGATACTTTAGGCTAGAGACCGTACCTCCCAACTGGATTGCTGTTA